AAGTAAAAGCTAAGAGAATTAAGCACCACCAAACCAGCTTTACAGCAAATGCTAAAGGAATTTCTCTAAGAAGGAAACACAAGACAAGGAAAAAACCTATAAAAACAAACCCAAAACAATAAAGAAAATGGTAATAGGAACATACATATTGATAATCACTTTAAATGTAAATGGATTAAATGCTTCAACCAAAAGACACAGGCTTGCTGAATGGATATAAAAACAAGACCCATATGTATGCTGTCTACAAGAGACCCACTTCAGACCTAGGGACACATACAGACTGAAAGTAAGGGGATGGAAAAAGATATTCCATGCAAATGGAAACCAAAAGAAAGCTGGAGTAGCAATTCTCATATCAGACAAAATAGACTTTAAAATAAAGACTATTAGAAGAGACAAAGAAGGACACTACATAATGATCAAGGGATCAATCCAAGAAGAAGATATAACAACTGTAAATAGTTATGTATCCAACATAGGAGCACCTCAATACATAAGGAAAATGCTAACAGTAATGAAAGGGGAAATCGACAGTAACACAATCATAGTAGGGGGCTTTACCACCCCACTTTCACCAATGGACAGATCATCCAAAATTAAAATAAATAAGGAAAGACAAGCTTTAAATGATACATTAAACGACATGGACTTAACTGGTATTTATAGGACATTCCATCCAAAAACAACAGAACACATATTCTTCTCAAGTTCTCATGGAACACTCTCCAGATAGACCATATCTTGGGTCACAAATCAAGCCCTGGTAAATTTAAGAAAATTGAAATCGTATCAAGTATGTTTTCTGACCACAATGCTATGAGACTAGATATCAATTACAGGAAAAAAAACCTGTAAAAAATACAAACACATGGAGCTTAAGCAACACACTACTTAATAACCAAGAGATCACTGAAGAAATCAAAGAGGAAATGAAAAAATACCTAGAAACAAATGACAATGAAAACACAACAACCCCAAACCAATGGGATGCAGCAAAAGCAGTTATAAGAGGGAAGTTTATAGCAATACAATCCTACCTCAAGAAACAAGAAACATCTCAAATAAACAACCTAACCTTACACCTAAAGTAATTACAAAAAGAAGAACAAAAAAATCCCAAAGTTAGAAGAAGGAAAATAATAAAGATCAGATCAGAAATAACTGAAAAAGAAATGAAGGATACGACAGCAAAGATCAATAAAACTAAAAGCTGGTTCTTTGAGAAGATAAACAAAATTGATAAAACATTAGCCAGACTCATCAACAAAACAAGGGAGAAGACTCAAATCAACAGAGTTAGAAATGAAAAAGAAGTAACAACTGACACTGCAGAAATACAAAGGATCATGAGAGATTACTACAAGCAACAATATGCCAATAAAATGGACAACCTGGAAGAAATGGAAAAATTCTTAGAAAAGCACAACCTTCCGAGACTGAACCAGGAAGAAATAGAAAATATAAACAGACCAATCACAAGTACTGAAATTGAGACTGTGATTAAAAATCTTCCAACCAACAAAAGCCCAGGACCAGATGGCTTCAAAGCCATCAAATGTTTGACTTCAAATGTTTGAATTCTATCAAACATTTAGAGAAGAGCTAACACCTATCCTTCTCAAACTCTTCCAAAATATAGCAGAGGGAGGGACACTCCCAAACTTATTCTACGAGGCCACCATCACCCTGATACCAAAACCAAAGATGTCACAAAGAAAGAAAACTACAGGCCAATATCACTGATGAATATAGATGCAAAAATCCTCCAGAAAATACTAGCAAACAGAATCCAACAGCACAATAAAAGGATCATACACCATGATCAAGTGGGATTTATCCCAGGAATGGAAGGATTCTTCAATATACGCAAATCAATCAATGTGATACACCATAATACCAAATTGAAGGATAGAAACCATATGATAATCTCAATAGTTACAGAAAGCTTTTGACAGAATTCAACAGCCATTTATGATAAAAACTCTCCAGAAAGTAGGCATAGAGGGAACTTACCTCAACATAATAAAGGCCATATATAACAACCCCACAGCCAACATCGTCCTCAATGGTGAAAAACTGAAACCATTTCAGCTAAGATCAGGAGCAAGACAAGGTTGTCCACTCTCACCACTATTATTCAACATAGTTTTGGAAGTTTTAGCCACAGCAGTCAGAGAAGAAAAAGAAATAAAAGGAATCCAAATCAGAAAAGAACAAGTAAAACTGTCACTGTTTGCAGATGACATGATACTATACATAGAGAATCCTAAAGATGCTACCAGAAAACTACTAGAGCTAATCAATGAATTTGGTAAAGTAGCAGGATACAAAATTAATGCACAGAAATCTCTGGCATTCCTATACACTAATGATGAAAAATCAGAAAGAGAAATTAAGTAAACACTCCCATTTACCACTGCAACAAAAAGAATAAAATACCTAGGAATAAACCTATGTAAGGATACAAAAGACCTGTATGCAGAAAACTATAAGATACTGATGAAGGAAATTAAAGATGATACAAACAGAGAGATATACCATGCTCTTGTATTGGAAGAACCAACATTGTGAAAATGACTATACTACCCAAAGCAATCTACAGATTCAATGCAATCCTTATCAAACTACCAATGGCATTTTTCACAGAACTAGAATAAAAAATTTCACAATTTGTATGGAAACACAAAAGACCCCGAATAGCAAAAGCAATCTTGAGAACAAAAAACGGAGCTGGAGGAATCAGGCTCCCTGACTTCAGACTATACTACAAAGCTACAGTAATCAAGACAGTATGGTACTGGCACAACAACAGAAATATAGATCAATGGAACAGGATAGAAAGCCCAGAGATAAACCCATGCACATATGGTCACCTTATATTTGATAAAGTAGGCAAGAATATACAAGGGAGAAAAGACAGCCTCTTCAATAAATGGTGCTGGAAAAACTGGACAGCTATTTGTAAAAGAATGAAATTAGAACACTCCCTAACGCCACACACAAAAATAAACTCAAAATGGATTAAAGACCTAAATGTAAGGCCAGACACTATAAAACTCTTAGAGGAAAACATAGGTAGAACACTCAATGACATAAATCACCGCAAGAGGGCTTCCCTGGTGGCACAGTGGTTGGGGGTCCGCCTGCCAATGCAGCGGACGCGGGTTTGTGCCCCGGTCCGGGAGGATCCCACATGCCGCTGAGCTGCTGGGCCCGTGAGCCATGGCCACTGAGCCTGCGTGTCCAGAGCCTGTGCTCCGCAGCGGGAGAGGCCGCAGCAGTGAGAGGCCTGCGTACCGCAAAAAAATAAATAAATAAATAAAAATAAATCACTGCAAGATCCTTTTTGACCCACCTCCTAGAGAAATGGAAATAAAAACAAAAATAAACAAATGGGACCTCATAAAACCTAAAAGCTTTTGCCTAGCAAAGGAAACCATAAACAAGACGAAAAGACAACCCTCAGAATGAGAAAAAATATTTGCAAATAAAGCAACTGACAAAGGATTAATCTCCAAAATCTACAAGCAGCTCATGCAGCTCGATATCAAAAAAACAAACAACCCAATCCAAAAATGGGCAGAAGACCTAAATAGACATTTCTTCAAAAAAGATATACAGATTGCCAAGAAACACATGAAAGGATGCTCAACATCACTAGTCACTAGAAAAATGCAAATCAAAACTACAATGAGGTACCACCTCACACCAGTCAGGATGTCCATCATCAAAAAATCTACAAACAATAAATGCTGGAGAGGGTTTGGAGAAAAGGGAACCCTCTTGCACTGTTGGTGGGAATGTAAATTGATACAGCCACTATGGAGAACAGTATGTAGAGGTTCCTTAAAAAACTAAAAATAGAACTTCCATACAACCCAGTAATCCCACTGCTGGGCATATACCCTGAGAAGACCATAATTCAAAAAGAGTCATGTACCACAATGTTCACTGTAGCTCTATTTACAATAGCCAGGACATGGAAGCAACCTAAGTGTCTGTCGACAGATGAAGAGATAAAGAAGATGTGGCACATATATATAATGGAATATTAGCCACAAAAAGAAACGAAATTGAGTTATTTGTATTGAGGTGGATGTCCCTAGGGTGTGTCATACAGAGTGAAGTAAGTCAGAAAGAGAAAAGCAAATATCATATGCTAACACATATACGTGGAATCTTAAAAAAAAAAAAAAAAAAGTTTCTGAAGAGCCTAGGTGCAGGACAGGAATAAAGATGCAGACGTAGAGAATGGACTTGAGGACACACGGAGGGGGAAAAGTAAGCTGGGACGAAGTGAGAGAGTGGCAATGGACATATATACACTACCAAATGTAAAACAGATAGCTAGTCGGAAGCAACCGCATAGCACAGGGAGATCATCTGGGTGCTTTGTGACCACCTAGAGGGGTGGGATAGGGAGGGTGGGAGGGAGATGCAAGAGGGAGGAGATATGGGGATATATGTATATGTATAGCTGATTCACTTTGTTATACAGCAGAAACTAACAAACCATTGTAAAGCAATTATACTCCAATAAAGATGTTAAAAAATAATATTAATAATATATGACCAGAACATAGGCTGTCAATTAACCAAGCATGAGTGAGTAAAATCCAACAAAATTTTCTGTATTTCTGATTTTTCCAATCTATTAATCACAGCATAGTAAGAATGCCCCAAAATATGAATTGACCTAGAAAAGCAGAGAAAAAGTGAAAATAAAGTAAATCTTATTTCACATGTCAGGAACATTCTTAATAAAGTATGCATAATGAGAGGCAAATGCAATTGTAATTAAGCATGAAGGCAGTTACATATTTCCCATGAAACAATTATGCAGAATATGTAAAAATAAGAGTGTCAGTAAGTACTTCGGGGAAGCGCTGGCATTTCATTTTACAACAGATTTCTTAGACACAGAAGACCAGAACATTCATAAGATCACTCCAAAGTCCTATTTAAAGCCACAGAGGTGTTGCTACCAGTCCGCTTACCATTTCTTCAACATAAGGGTAAAGCATGTCTCCAAAGTATTCGGTAGATTCGATTGGAAGCTGTGCCGGCAAATTGTCAATGGAGCACATCAGAATCCCAGAGCCTTCGACGCTAGGAGAAGCAACGTGCTTTATTCGGATGGACAAAATTTATGTGTAAGCGCTAACTTTCGCAGATGTCTACTGCGTTATTTACACTTCATAATCATTTGTAATCTTCTACCACAGTATATAGGAAAATAAACAAGACTTTTCAAATAAAACTTTTCCCTTCTTCACAACCCATGGAAATGTAGTATGTGTGTGTGTGTATTTAAGTGCTCAAATCTGAATGTGGTTTTTCTACCAAATTTTTTAATATGCTTGAGCGTATCTCTGGAAATTTGCATAGCCTTCATAAAGCCGTGAAATATTGAGTATTTTAGAGTAGTATATCAAAGGAAGTAAATGATGCATTATTATGTATCTCTCCCCATCTAACAGCTTTAGCAAACTCACCTGTCATGAATAATATGCTGATCTGCATCATACATGCAGAAGGGATGCTCTATTGTCGTGCACTCAGTCATAAACTCAATAGATCCTCCGGTGTCAGCTGAAATGTCACATATTGCCACAAGTCTGTAAATAACATCAATACTTAGATGTGAACATGGATCTCTGAAGTCTCCGACAGAATTTAAAATGAGTAAAAATGAAAGGTGCTTGAACAATTTTCAATGTAGATGCTAAATATTTCCTAGGCTCCTTAGCTCTTTTTCCTACAGCTCACATGTTCAGGAAACTGTTCTTTTGGGATACAGAGAATCTTCCTAATAGGAGTTTTAGTCTCCCCAAGCAAAAAGAAAAAGAGGAAGAGGAGATGGATAGAGGAAGATAAGAAAGGAAAAGAGATAGAAGTAAAAGAAAAAAAAACCCTCCTTATACATACTACTATATATAAAATAGATAACTAATAAGGTCTATTGTATAGCAGAGGGGACCCTACTCAGTACTCTGTAATGGCCTCTATGGGAAAAGAATCTAAAAAAGAGTGGATAGGGAAGTCTCTGGTGGCTCAGTGGGTAAGACTCCACACTCCCAGTGCAGGGGGCCCAGGATCAATCCCTGGTCAGGGAACTAGATCTGCATGCATGCCACAACTAAGAAGTCCACATGCCGCAACTAAGACTCAGTGCAGCCTAAATAAATAAATATTAAAAATAAAAAAGAGTGGAGATATATATATATATATATATATATATATATATATATATATATAACTGGTTCACTTTGCTGTACAGCAGAAACAACACAACATTGTAAATCAACTATACTCCAATAAAAATGAAAAAAAAAACCCTCCCTAGAGAAATCATTGACAACAGCCTAAAGTTAAGCTAGTCAGCCAACTTTAAATAACTTAGCAAGTTCGACTACACTACCTCCACCCCGCTTAGTAATACATCATTTTATGTGTTATTACATAGAAATCTCTGGAATTATGAACAAAAGTCTCAGCCCAGGATTCGAAATCCTTTTGAAGTTGACCCCAATTTTCCTGCCGGATCTCTAATTTCCACTTGCCCATATAAACCCTATACTAGGGCTACAGTGTCCCACTCGCTGTCTTAAACTGTGCTTTGGTGGCTCCATAGTTATCAAGCACCAATCCTATCACTTGAAATCCCTGTTCTCACTCCTCCCTAGAGACTTTGCCGAGCCCATGCTCCCACTTTCTTCTAAACTCTTGCGATATTGATTGCTCCTAGCATTCCTTTGGAATTGAATTGATGCCAGCTACATGCCTGAGGGTAGCAACCACATTTTTTCTTTATCTCTCAGCTTAGCAGAGTGACAGGCAGACCAGGTGCTCCACAAATATTTATTTATTAACGAATTCATTCAACGTTTAGTAATTATTTGAATGAACATTATATGTCAAACAACGTACTGGGTACCTGTGGCCAAAACAAATAGGGCCCCTATCCTTAAGGAGATTAAGTTCTAGTAAGTTCTAGTGAGGCAGGAAATATCATAAACACAGGAAAATAAAAATCATAAACACATGAATTTCAGGGAAAAATATAGTAACAGACTGAAGAGTGATGGGAATGGGGAAGCAAGAGACGACCTCTCTGAGGAGCTTACTTTTGAGCTACGTGTGGAGTCCCATAAGAGAAGAGAATCTCAAGAAGGAGGAAAGGAAATAGACTCACAAACATAGAAAACAAACATATGGTTACCAAAGCGCAAAGGGGGGGGAGGGAGGGATAAATGAGGAGCTTGGGATTAACAGATATACACTACGATATATACAATGGATAAAAAATGAGGACCTACTGTATAGCACAGGGAACTATATTCAATATCTTATAATAACCTATAATGGAAAATAATCTGAAAAAGGAAAATATGTATATATATATATATACACATATATATATATATATAGATATATATATGTAACTAAATCACTGTGTTGTATACTTGAAACTAACAGGGCATTGTAAATCAACTAGACTTCAATAAAAAAAATAAACTTGCTCCCTAGAGCAAACAAACGAAAAAAAGAAACTTTGCAATCTCAGTTATCCCTAACATGTTATCACCGAGTCCAGCTGATCACTTAACACAGTTAAGCCCAGAACACTTTTTCTAACTTTCGGGATGTCACCTTATACATATATATATAACTGAATCACTTTGCTGTACATCTGAAACTAACAACATTATAAATCAACTATACTTTGATTAAAAAAAAAAAAAAGGAGGGAAGGTTAACTGTCAAATATTTCCAAGAGATTAAATAAGATACGTCAGACAACTGGTTATTAATAGTCAAGTCCTGTGCTATGTGGGTCCCCTATGTGTGATACCCTCACAGTGGGCCTTGCTGCTGAAAACTGCCATCATTGCTGAAGTCCTTACTTGTGTGGCAGTGCAGGGCAGCCTTCAACACCAGCAACTGAGGACTTGCCTGGAGCCAGGAGACTCTGAGCATCTTGGCGGGTTAGTAGGCGAGGAGTGTTTTGTTCCCAGTAGATTCCATTAATTAAACAAGTTGTATAGGGTGCAATCTGTAAAGCAGATTCCAAGGTCAGCGAGATAGGAAACAGCCTTTTTCAAAGCAGTGTGCTGAAAGACAGCTGTCAGTAAAGTTCATGAGAAATAATTTAACGTTATTTCTAATTGACTTCGTTATTTGCCAAGTCAGTGGCCACCTTTCGAAGCAAAGACGATAAATACCCACCCAGATTTCAGTGGAAAATTATCTCATTATAGAAAAACACATGAATATAAATACATTAATATCTGTGTTCTATAATGCCTTGCATAGCCAAGAAAAAGGAAATAACAGAAGTTCAAGTGACCAAGTGCTCTACTTCCAGCTCAGCCTCTAGTAGCATGTGATCTAAAGCATGCTACCTTAACTTCTCTGGGCTCTGTTTTCCTTACCTGCCAGGTGGGGATAACGTGTACCCTATTCCTCAAAGGAATGCTGTGAAGATTAAATCAGATAACATCTGTAAGCTCCATGGGCAAATGCGCTACATGCATGCATACATGGTAACTAGGTCATTATAAGTTTGGGGATGCATCCAATCACCAGTATTTCTGTGACTGGGGAAGAGAAGGGATGGAAACTTACTAGATTCAAAATTTTTCAATTTGAAACTAGTTTTATAATTCCTGTTTCTCAAGCATCTCAAGCATTTTCAAGCCACAGGTAAGAGTTCTTCTATAATATGCTCTACATGCTATAACACTAAATTTCATACCAGAATCTAAAAATGTTATATTGTTCAAATACATTTAAAATTATTTAAAATATTCCTTTTCACAATTAGATGCATGCATTTTTTTGTTGGTTTATTTTGAGAAGGACTGTTGCATGACCAATGACTACAAAACACACAAATATATTATCCTTCTTATAAGAAGAGACCAGAGTGTCCCCATCAGAAGGAGGATCTGAACTGGAAGTAACTTTTGTACAGTGGAGATGGGTCTTCCATAGCCATACTGTTTCACTCTGGTCCCCTGTAATCAATGGCATGTATTTCAAGATGGCTGGCTGAGGTTGACTGCAATTTGTGGCCATAGAAGGGATAGAACTATGTTGAGAACAACTCTCATAGACACTATGGTTTCTCAACAGTACTAACTAATTCAGGGTAAATACAGAAAAGAGTAACCCACAGGAAATGGTTTAGAGCAACTGGGCACATGCAGACCTGAAGGAGAAACAGAGTCAGTGAAGCAATGTGCACACCCATAGAAACTACCAAAGCCACAAAGCAAAGGCCACTCCAAACACCAAGAAAAGCCAACAACACCTAAGGACAACTCATAATACCCAAAGGACTCACCACAAGTCACTACGGAGAACTGAAAACCAACGTACACAATCACAATCTCTCTCCTTCAAAGCAGCCTAACTATAGTGTATCACGAGCAACCAACTCAAAAGCGAGGCATGATACTCACATCAGTATTAAAACGGCTTATGTAGCGCTCAGGGTATTTGTCATACTCTACAGGATCATAGATACCATCTGTTTTCCTGACGAGATGATGATGGCGACTTAACACTGTCCCGTACACTTTTCTCAGGTCTTGCAGAGGAGAAAGGAATTAGTAAAGTGGGTCACAAATGATAAAGGTTTATGGTGATAAAATATTATAACACTGAAACTGTTAAAAAAAACAGTAAAAGACACAAACACTCGCCCGCCCCGCCCTCCCTACCTCCATTTTGGGAAACTTCTTTTAATTCGTGCGGCTCCACGTATTCACAAGGTAATTCATTGAAGATTTCTTGGGCTCCCTGTAAATAATGCATGAGTGAAAACTCTAAAAATCAATCCGAAAAGAGCCAATACGATTTCCTGCAAAGGTTCCAACTCCTTTTCCCCACAATTTTATAGCTCAACTTGCCCTGCCCTGCAACTGGGACCACAGCACGGAAGCACAGGTGAGCCTCTTGCATGCAGCCTGTGAACCAACTTTTATTCCCATTTAAACACCACTCATTGGAAGGGGCTTTAATTTTTTTACTTAAAGTTATTCAGCATAGAAGCAAGGGGGTTTAAGAACTGACAGTACGATAAAAATATTTCTATTTAATTTTTGCTCCATTGCAGAAATTATTTCAAGTGGGGAAACTATATTTCCTACTTATATCAGATGGCTATCTCACAGTACAATATAAATAGTGATGTCCTGTTTGTAAAATATTTTCGCTGAAGAAAGATCTATTTTGCAGTTACAAGTTTCTCTATGGGATCAAAAAGACATTCTCGAAACTACCCCAGAAGGAAGAAAGTAACAATAGTAGTCTTGAGTTAAGCCTCTTAACATCTCTTGGCAAAACTCCAAATCTTGTAAAATTTACATCCTGGGGTCACTTCCAAATTTTGGGATATCTCAGTGATAGAGGTAAAGCAGAGCACCCTAAGAATAGACCTTTACACAACACGGAGTTATCCCTCTAAAAAGAAAAAAAGAAAAGAAACACCATTCAAAGCCTCTGACAGCTTGGAATCAACTCAAAGCAAAGACACTAAGTTTGGACCAGTACTGCACTTTACTGTGGGAAAAGTACATAGGTAAGAAAAGTACCAAGAACAGAATGCCCAGTCGTGGAAAAGAAGGGCTCTGAAATGTCACACAAAATGCCCACATCCTTTGGGTTAGTGTCAGAGTTTCAGACTGCTTTACAGAAAGAAGACAGTTGGAGCATACCTTAGATACATTACCAGTCCCTGTGAACACAAATGTTAAGGGCCCTATCGACTTTGGCATCAATCCCAGAGATATTTCATAGCCAGTGTCTCGGACAGCTTGCACAGCCTGACTGCTGTTCCTGTAGTTATGAGCCATGCCAATGTGCTACAAGCAAGCACACGTGGATCACGTTAGTCTACCACCCGAGACAGGTTTCTGTTCTTAAAATGTGACATGTATTTCAAAACAAATAGACACAATAAACATCTCACCATAAAAGGTGTGTGATGTCCCAAAGCAAGGAGCCTTAAACCCATTCCATGTAAAATGTTGATCATCCCTGTTGCAGAATCAGACCAACAGAAAGACCATTAGTTGGGAGGAGTTGAAGCTGTTCTCTCTACCTGTCCTCCAACCTGCTCCGTGCTCTGAGAAAGCACAGACCACAGCATCTCAGATTTGGAAGGGGCCCCAGTAGTCATCTTATCCATCCCCTCAACTTTCTGCCATCGAAAGCGTTAACCCAGCTGCACCCCGACCTGTCCCCTCCACATCCAATCCTGCTAAAACGGAAAGAGTGCCCCTCTTTTTCTCTAAGGTTAATCTCTCCACCTTTGCTCCAGATCCCATCCCTTCCTGTCTCTCTCAGGAATTTACTCTTGAATTATGTCCTCTCTCTATCCCTCTCTATTGGTTCATTCTTATCAACATTTAAACACGCCTCCATTTCTCTCATACCAAAAACAAATGAATAAGCAAAAAAGAAGTCACCATTGACCGACCCCTCCCCCCATCATTTCAGTGACCTACACAGCTAAACTCGTGGACACTTTTCAGATCTTGACTTACTTGTCAGAGGTATCTGGCAATGTAGAGCCCCTCTTTGTTGGGACTCTCTTCCCTCAGCTTGCCTGGCTTGAACATTTTCACCCTACATTTCTGCAGGCTCCACTTCCCATGCCCATTCCTTTTATATTAGTGCCTTGCCCTTTGCTTGGTATTGGTCACTCTCAGGATTCTGTCCCAGGCACTATTCTCTTCAATCTCCACATTTTTCCCTTAGCTAATCTCATGCATTCCTAAATTTCAAGTACTCTCTGTATGATGATGACTCCAAGTCTGTATCTCTAACGCAGATATTTTATTTCAAGACCCAACCAACCACCTTATGGATTTCTCAATCTGGATGTCCTTCACGTAGCAGAAACTTAGCATGCCTGTAACGAAGACCTCAGCATCCATTCTCCCCTTCTTTTCCGGAAGGGAACTTTCCCTCTCCATATCCCTGACAAATTTTCTTTGACCTTTTTTCTGATGTCAACTTTTAAAGGAATAATTTACATACAACAAATCACACCAATTTAAAGTCTATAGTTTGATAACTGTTAACAAATGCACACACCCATATTACCACCAACATAATCAAAATACAGAATATTCCCATCACTCCAGTCAATCCTCCCCGAACTTTGGCCCCAAACAACTACTGATTTTATTTGTCTCTATAGATTCGTTTCTTCTACAGTTGCATACAAATGAAATGTTAAGTATTTACTCTTCTTTGTGTGTCTGCTTTTACTCAGGAAAATGTTTTTGAGATTCGTGCATACTTTGTGCGTATAAGTAGTTTCCTTCTTTTTACTGCTGAGGAGTGTTCCATTCTATGGATGTACCACAGTTTATTTATCCATTCCTCTGCGGATTGTCTGGGCTATTATGAATGAAGCTACTATAAATAATTCTTTACAAAAAATAATTTGTTTCTCTTGATAAATGCCTATGAGTGGAATTTATTTTGTACATTGATATGCAAGTGTTTTATTTATTCTTGAGATGAGTCTTTCAAGGATTTGCCTATTTTGTCAACGTTGTCAAATTTATTGGCTTATTCATAATATTCCCTTATCATTTTTAATATCTGTGACATATATAGTGATGATTCCTCTTGTATTCCTAATATTGGTAAAAAGTGGCTTCTCTCTCTTTTTTTTAAAAATCAATCTAACTGGAGGTTTATCAATTTTATTGATTATTTTTTTAAAAAAAGAACTGGCTTTTGATTTTCTCTATTATTTTCCTGTTTTAATTTAATTGATGTTCCCTCTTATCAATATTATTTCCTTCCTTCTATTTGCTTTGGGTTAATTTTGGGTTAATTTTGGGTTAATTAATTTATTTTTCTAGCTTCTTCTGATGGAAATTTAGATTACTAATTTAAGAACTTTCTTCTTTTCTAATGAAAGCATTAGAATGCTATAAATTTCCTTCTAAGCACCACTTTACCTGCATTCCACAAATTTTGGTGTGCTGTGTTTTAAATTTTCATTCAATTCAAAATATTTTCTAATTTTTCCTGTGATGTCTTCTGGACTCATGGGTTATTCAAAAATACATTGTTTATCTTCCAAATATTTGGAAGTTTCCTATATATCTTTGTATTATGATTCCAAAATCAATTTTATTATAGTCAGAGCACATACTCTATGATTTCAGACCTTTTAAATTTATTAAAAATTGTTTTGTGACCTAGCATATGGACCATCTGGATGAATGTTCCACAGGAAAGGAATGTGTTCTATTCTGCAAGTTGCTGGGTGGAGTGCTGGGTGCTCAAGAACTTCCACTGATGTCAGGGCGGTTGATAGTGTTTTGTGTCCTCTATCCCTACAAATTTTCTGTCTACTTATTCTGACAATTATACACCTTCAAGTAGTCTAATCTGATATAGAGTTATAACATGTGGTGTTTCTCAACTAAAGATGGTCCAAAGTACTAACTGGGACAAAAATCAAGTACTGTTTTTCCCCAAACTCCAGCTTGTATCCTTGCTAGACTGCTCCTCTGTTGGCTCTTGTCCCCATACCTTTTCTCCCTCTTTTACCCTTTCTTCCATTCTTCAATTTCTCATCACCAAACTGACCTCTCTTTCCAGTCTTCCAAACAGTAAAAATTAAGAGCCTAAGCATAGCTGTTGTCCTTCTCCCTGCTCTCTTTTTCTTAATTTTTGTAATAAACATAGTTTAATGATTTTATTTTATTCCCCTGATATTCATCACCCTTAGTCACACCCCCATGTTTATTTTTATTGGTGGAAATGAACACTCCCATCCCCTTGCCACAAAAAAGAGAGAACGCAGTTACTCCCCAGGCAAATTTAGAAAATGGGTGATGTAACAGCCTTGGCATACCTACCTGCCACACCTGCCCACTGTCCAAACGCCACTACCCGTATTCCTCTATGATCCACCATTTTCTCATAATCAATAAGTCGGATTTCCTGAAGAAACAGTAAAAAATTTCTCAACCAGACCCATCCAGCTTAATTTGAATGAGTACAAAACATATATGAGCAAGTGATTATTTCACAGTATTCCCTCATAAAATAGATCTTGACTTGCCAGGTGCACCATGAAATATTTAGGAAATGCTGGGTCACAAACCAATGATAGGTTTGTGATGAGAAATGAAAGAATGGTCCTAGCAGGGTGCTAACACCCCTTGATAGTAGGCAATAAAATAACAAAGGCATGATTTCTTTTAACTTTTAGCCCAGCACCACTGACAAATATATCCACATACTGCCCCCACTCATCCTCACATCCTTCCCTCTAGTCTCAAAAACCACAAGTCTTTCCTGAGACTAATCCCTGTGAGCTAGACGTCAGCTTTACTCTATGTCTTCCAAGACCTCTCAAACTTTTTCTTTCTTTTCTTTCTTCCTTCTTTACACTGTTCCTTTCCCTCAGCCATTCTAAATACACCCAGGTCTCTCTTCTACTTTAAAAATAACAACTATACACCCTCTCAAGTCCATACACACAAATCTATCTCATTCTCTCTCTCTCTCCTTCTGTCTCTCTTAGTATCTCTCTGTTTCTCTGTCTCTCTCTTTTTTTTCTCTCTCCAGCCTTTCACAAGCGAACTTTATTTTAAAAGTAGCACAAGCTGCTTGCTCTTCACTTCCTCACCTTCACTAAAATCTTGTCCTTCCTCTTTCCTTGGGAATCTTCCGTCTCTCTTGGAAATGTCCTATTACCTCATGCTTAAAAACTGCTGACACATTGGAATTATAGAATGTTTTAAATAGTCTCTTTCCTCAAAGATGATATAATTTTTGCCATGTGCTTGGATTTAAGAATATTTAATATTAATCCAACTCCAAGTAATTTGTTACAAAATGTTGCCCCAAAGCAGCCCTGCTGGGTCTGTTTTCATTAATTTTCTTGAAATGAACTAAACTTCATATAACCAAAAAGAAAAATGTTTCTAAAGTACTTTTTGAGGAGTTTTATCTGCTTAAAGTGAAACATTCTTCTATGATACTATTTCCTTTAATTACTTTTTGAATTGGTTCTTATGACACACTGTAAATTAACTACAGTGTCTGTTTAGTGAATCTGAAATTAGTAAGAATGTATTCTACAGGTTTATGTAAAATTTTCCTCCATTACTTTTACTGTTTGTGAAACTCTCCTGTCCTCTACCTATCGTCAGATTCAAGTCTAGTTTCTAATGCTCTAACATCCTTACCCCAGGACTTAGACCTTGGACTTCTCCATCTGCAGTCACTCCTCACCCTCACCCAGTCTCATGGCTTTAGATACCATCTAGTCTCTGACAACTGAAAAATGTGTATCTGGAGAAGCTGCCCTCCTGAGCTACAGACTCGCATCCAATGGCCCACTCAGCATCTCCCCTTACATGTCTAATGGGCAAATTAAACTCGACAGGCCCTAAGCTCAAATCTTCATCCTCCCACCCAAGCCTGCTCCTCGTGCAGTAGCATCATGTCAATCTAAAGCAACTCCTTTAAGTTACTCTAACCAAAATGCTGGAGTCGCCTCTGACTCCTCTCTTTCTCTCATAGTCCACATTCACCTCATCCATGAATCCTGCAGGATCAGACCTCTAAAATACATCCAAGATTGTCCATGTGTCACGACCTCCACTCCCGCCGCCCTCAACATCATTTGCAGCCTAGCATCTGGACTAGTCTAGACTAACAATCTTCTTATCAATTTTGCTCTCCTTCTCCCGTCTCCAACTTTTATTCACAGAGCAGGCAGAATAAGCATCTTAGAATATGATGAACTCTAATCCTCCATTCAAAAAGACTGTCTGTCGGACTTTTGCACTACTATTCTCTCAGGCTGGAAGGCTTCTCCCAGATGGATATGGCTTGATCCTTTGCCTCTTACAAATTTTTGCTCAATGCCAATACTGCAATGAGGCACTCCCTGATCATCCTATTTCAAGTAGCGTTATCACCTCCCCTAGTGCCCAGCACTCCTTTTTTTCTTCTGTATTATACTTATCTCCATTACACATATCACCAAGCGACATATGAGGTGTTGTTTATTTATTCTAGTGTCTCCTCGTACTAGAATGTAAGCTATGTTCATTGCAGTGATCAGTGTCAGACACATTGTAGGCACTTGGTAAATATTTGTTGAGTATTTTAAATAGATGTATTTTAAATAGATGATAGTTTTTCCACAGTATTTATATCTCAAAAAATGTTTCTTTTCCTTATGAATGTTAATAAATGTAAAAACAGTTTCCAGTACAGTTCTGGTACTACAGAGCTGTGCAGCCTCAGTCAAGTCACTTCACCTCTCTGGGCTCCATCTGAAAAATTAGGGGGTAAGTTATATGATCCCTGAGGTTCCTTTTAGCTCTAAAATTCTACTTGCTAATATTTGAACTATTAACCTTATAAGTTAATAATCATTTGGAGCAAATGCTTCTATCATTCTTCCCATTTCAGAATACAAAGGAATGAAATGTGTTTGGTTCCACTTATCACAAACTCCAAACTTGCCCAGCAGAGCAGCCCGAAGAGCAGCAGAACTATACAAGCACTAACTGCAGATCACCTCTCCTACTGAGGTGAATACGTGATGTATGTTCTAGATGCTGAAAGAAAACTAAAACTCCACTTGACAGTTAAAAGTTAAAAAAAAATATGTTTCTATGTTAACATTTATGAATATTGGCCACTAATTACCTGTTTTAGGATCTCATCCAACAAACCCATATTGGCCTCCTGAGCCTTTATGGTGTGGGAGAAGAATGCATAGGTCTTCTTAGGCATTAGTTTTTCCTCTGGGGGTCTTTTAACTCCCAAAATTAAACAAGCTTCAGAAATATCCTCCTGAAGAATGCCACCAGCTTTGACATATTCCTGGGAATGTAATTTTGATTAAAAGTTATTCTCTTGATTTGTTGTATTCATATTTTCTTTAATAAATAAATGTAGCAATTAAAGTCACAACCTTTTGAAGGAAACAAATATAAGGAACAAATCATAGAAAAACTACTTCTAATATTCTTACTTGCTGGCTAAAGATCAATCTAACATGTTTGACTTTTGTACCAGAAACAAAAAATTAGAGAATTCAGCACATACTTTAATCTAAGAACTGTTAATAGTTTGACCATAACTGCTAGCACATGTGATTTAAATATACATGTAAAATGTATATTTTGTGCCAACAATGCCCTGAAACATTAAATGCTAAATAGTAATATACTTTTAAAGGAAATATATATACTTTTATATACAGGTATACTTTTAAAGGAAAGACATATATGCAATATTTTCTTTTCTTTTGTTTTTTTGTTGTTCAGTTAGTATTTATTACTGCCCTACTCTGTTCCATGGACTGTGCTAAAGATGAGATAGGACACAAAGAAACAGAGACAAGATCTCCCCTGTAAAGGAGCTCACAAAATATTGTAAAAAGAAGTCAGAGGCACAGTGCATGAGGCTGAATTCAAAAGAACATTATGACTAGCATAATCTAAGTGATATATTAATTTAATGGATATTGAGATAACTCCCAGGTGAGATGATCAAGGAAATGTGGAAATTTAAATTAATCTAAAAGGCTGGGTAGGATTTGGAGGGATGGAGATGGGAAATACAAGGTGGTAATATCAGTAAGAGATAGTGAAGGAGATGGGAAAGTAAGGAGATGTTTAGGGCATAATAAGTGAATCAATTTAGAAAAATAGACTGAATATTATTATGGTGAATATGAGCTTTATTGGATAAAAATAAAAATAATCATTGATTTTTTTTTTTTTTTGCGCTAGGCAAGCCTCTCACTGTTGTGGCCTCTCCCGTTGTGGAGCACAGGTTCTGGAGGCGCAGGCTCAACGGCCATGGCTCACAGGCCCAGCTACTCCGCAGCATGTGGGATCTTCCCAGACCGGGGCACGAACCCGTGTCCCCTGCATCAGCACGCGGATTCTCAACCACTGCGCCACCAGGGAAGCCCCATTGATATTTATTAATAAATTACTATGTGCTTTGCTAAGCTCTTTGGGTGAATTATCTCATTTAATTCTCAAAACTCCCATGAGGTAGGTACTATTATTATCCCCAATTTATCAATGGGAAACCTGAGTCCTACACATTAAACTGAGATTTCATAGCTAGTACACGGAGGCAATAGACAATCATTTCAGATTTTTAAATAAAGGGGTAGCATGATCCAGGCAGAATTTTTAAAGCATCTTAGATGGCAGTTGAATAAAATGAAGATAAATCTAGTTAGGAATCTACTTCAAAGTAAAGTACAAATGAATAGGAAAGAAAGTAAAAGAATGAACATATGGTTCATACCTGGTTTCTCTGAAAACAATCTATTTGCCCATTTATAGTAGACTGGTTAAATAAATCATGATAAATAATGGAGTAATTATAGCAGCCATTAAATAGAATGAAGCTGATGTCTATGAACTGACATGAAGTGATTTCCAGGTATGCTGTAGAACAAAGCAAGGTGCAAAAGAGTATATACAGTATAAAACGTTCTGTATAAGATTGAAGGGAAAATAAGAAAACATACATACACACACATACACGTGCTTATTTTTGCAAGAAGAAACACAGGAATGATAGATCAGAAACTGATGAAAATAGTAACCTATAGGGTGGGTGGGAATGGGATGTAAGGGATTAAGATGAGAGCAAGACTTCTCTGTGTCGCATCTTTTTATACAGTTTTAATCTTTGAAGCTTGTAAATGTTTAACTTATTTGAAAAATAAAATTAAATCAAAAAGGATTTAAAGCAAATATTAAAATGTCATAGAAACAAAAATAAATCCAACTGGATATCACATTGACATGTAACCACAGAGAAAAACTCATTCAGATATCTTTTGAACACAGCACTCCGAATATTCTTTGTGGGATGTATTCTAAAGGCCAAAAAAAAAAAAAATTCTTCTAAGAAATATTAAATTCCATTCAATATTCTCTTATTGAGGTATAATTGACATTATATTAGTTTCAGGTATACACCTAAATGATTCAACACTTGTGTATATTGCAAAATGATCACGACAATAAGCCTAGTTAACAATAAGCCCAGTACTGTTCTAGATTAAAAGAACTAAAGATACATAATAATGAATACAATGAACCTTAATTAAGCCTTGATTAAAATAAAAACCATAAAAGACATTTGAGACAATGGGGAATTTGAAATGTGAGATGTGAGATGATATCGTGGAATTATTAATTTCTTAGGTGTGAAAAAGATACAATGGTTACGCAGGAAGATGATTTATTCCTAGGAAATGTATACTGAAGCATTTAGAAATAAAGTGGCATTGTCTGCAGCATATTTTCAAACGGCTCAGGAAAGGAAAAACACATGCATGTATCTAAAATAAAAATAAAAGTCAAACCTGTGTCATAAGATTATTGTGAAGAATAAACAGAATGATGAATACGAGGGGCTTCACCTGGTGGCTGGCAAGGTAAACACTCATGAACAAACTCTACTCAGTGAAGCATTTCCTACAGACATTTGTCTTTCCAGTCCTAGAACCAGGGTCACACATGAAGGAGAGAATGACTGAAGGATGTCATCTCCTAAAAGCAATCATTTTATCCCTCAGCTGGAAAGCATGGGATGGGGTGAAAATAATACTTACTGGCTAAATTATGGGCTCAAGAAAGGATTCTAACTAGAAATCTCATAACTATATAATCTCATTATAACCGAAGTAAAGAAATATTGTCATGTGGTCTTTAAGTGACACTAGCAAACATTTTATTTTCACTCAGATGCTCCCTATTTTTCATACACAGGGTCATTTCAGTCCCACCTATTTTTAAAAATTGGAAATATTTACCTTATCGTGAATGGCCCGCCGATTGGAAGGCTGTATTAAGACCTTGTACCCCAGATTGGTGATCCCTTTGATGTGCCGGGGAGCCAGGGGAGCCCGCCTCTCCCAGGCGTTCACATCCTCCCGCCTCAATGCCATCACCGCCTTATAGTGAAGCCTGGAGAGGCTGAGGCCCAGCCTGCCCAGTTTGGTCCTAGGTACTCGCAGCATCTTGAAACCTGGTGACTGTAAAGAAATTGTAAGAGCAGGACAACAAAAGGCAAGAAGACTCACAGGTCAGTTCTGGTCTCCTGAGAAATCTGCTGTAAAATCCAACCAACTCAGGTGGTAACAGATTCAAGATGAGGAAGGGAGAGTGAAAACCTGGATGACATGATAATTTGCTGGTCATTGGGATGCTGTTCCTTTACCCAAACAAACCCAAACTTCCACAAACGATGTTACTTCCAAAAAAAAAAAAACAATAAAATGTCCCAAGCAACTTATGGGACACTAATCAATATCTGCTAAGTTGAACTCATTTTTTTAATGTATGTTTTATCAAACACACATTCAGCACAAAAGTTTTAAGCAAGTTAATCTACAATGCAAATACAGGAAGATAATTTATGCCAATTTTGATGATTAAAGTTTAGAATCCTTTCATAATGTACAAGATCCTTGACAATCTAGCTCCAACCTCTTTCGAGTTTCATCTCTGACCATTTCCTAAACTAGTTCTACTCAGTGTGTTTTATAGCCTGTTGTCAGTCGGTGACTGCTTTGTACTGGTCCACAATGAGATATGTACAGAAATAGAAAGTAAGCACTTAGAAACCTTTATATGACAGGATCATTTTTCTAGTAATTCACTGGTATTGAATTTTATAAAAGCATTGGTCCTGGAAGATTGGAAATTTAAGAAAACAAAACAAACAAACAATTTATCACCACAGGTGTTAGAAGCTGAGGAAGCACCTGACACCCCCAGCCTCACTTCTCTGACCCTGTCGTTGCTCTAAACATTCTCTTCCCGGGCTTCCCTGGTGGCACAGTGGTTAAGAATCAGCCTCCCAATGCAGGGCACACGGGTTTGAGCCCTGGTTCGGGAAGCTCCCACATGTCGCGGACTAAGCCCATGCGCCACAACTACTGAGCCTGCACTCTAGAGCCCGTGCTCTGCAACAAGAGAAGCCACCGCAATGAGAAGCCCGCGCACCACAACGAAGAGTAGCCCACACTCACAGCAACTAGAGAAAGCTCGCGCACTGCAACGAAGACCCAATGCAGCCAAAAAAAAAAAAAAAAAAAACATGTTCTTCCCCTTTCCAGAGTTTCCTCTACCAGACCCCCTCCCCCTGCTATCATATTAAACCCAGACCTGTCTCAGTTTTCTAACTGCTATTCCAGATTCTGTAACCCTATTCATTAATTCAATTAAGAAATATTTACAAGAGGCTTACTATGTGTCAGCACAGAATAAATTTTACAGAAAATTTTAAAGCATAAGTATCAAACAGTATTCTGTGCCTCTTCAAATGGTTACATAAATGTAGTAGTCAGAAGTCATTTCAGACGATAATTTGCTGGTCATTTGGATGCTGAACCTTAGTTTTCTATGTTTAAGGTTGGCATGAAAATATAGAGACTAAATGATTTTACATCTTCTAGAAATTCCCTAGCATATAGCACAATTCTTATGGAACACATTTCTGTTACATCAGACTACAATCTCTAAATCAGACCCACCTTATAGACAGGGAAGTTTTGTCCAACAATGGAATGTACAAGTACTATTTCCTGGGGGCAAACTACTTATCACCCTAGATAGAAAACTTGTAGGATAACTCACAACACAGACTAAAAGAATAAAGCAAACAGCAAAGAGTCCGGCTAAGAAGGCTTTAGGAAGAAAAGGGGCAGGGAGAGAAAACACTGCACACAGCAAATGAACATGCCGGTCATGAGGAGTTCAGGCTAACTTTTACTCAGGCCAAAATACGGATGACCGACTTTTTAGTAAAAGTCTGTTATATACTTTATCTAACTTTTTGGTTTACTTATATAGTTTCGTTTTTAAAAGAGACTATGCTAAGCCCCAATCCAAGCCCAAGCCCATAACATTTATTCTCCCCCAAGCCAAAGGAAAATCTGCAACGTCCCATAGAACTTGAATCCCTATGTTTGTAAATGAAATCAATTCCAAAGACAAATGAGTCTTCTAAACACACTGAGAAGCCCAGAAACAGTCCCATCTTCTCAGCAGGGGCTGCATCTCACATACCATAGTTGACCAAGTGATCCTAATCCTCTATACTTAGTAGCAGTTCTTGGCACAAAGATTAGGAAACATGTCCAAATAATTCAGTCTCTTTCCTCAGCCCAAGCTTGATTTATAACCACAGCTTCCCCTTTCTCAGCAACACTCCCTCCTCTTCCACACCTCCTTTGCCTGGAGTCGGGGGTACAGCGTGGGAGGAGAGACATAACCACATACACTCATGTAATACACACATACACGTTTGCAGCGGCAGACCTTCCTCGGGACCTAGGAAAGGAAAGTAGCAGAGGCTGGCCTTCTGCGTTTTATTTGGGAAGCTACTTTCACTTTCACTTTTTGTAGGGAATTCTTGAATCACAATTCCTGACCCTTTGTTTTCAAAGAAATAGAACAATAGTCACCACTGATTTAACATTATATGCTAAGCACTATACTGAGCACTTTACAGACATTATCTCATTTCCTCCTTGTGAAAATCTCATTTAGTAGATACTATTATTAGCCCCATTTTACAGATGAAGAAACTGAAGTGAAATCCAACTAGAGCTGTTGCTTTTAAGCAGAAGCAGAATCCCTAGGGTAATATTCAACACTCAGGATTTTCTCTTCTTTGCGAAAGCCTGCAGATCCACACCTCGTACATCTGACATATGTTACTCCTGCCAGCTCAATTCAGAAATAGATCAGATCCATATGGCATATTATTAGTTCTCGCACAGCATGGGGTTCCTCCATCAACCGCTTTCTATGTGTCACCAAAAATCCTTCCTGAGTCCCTGCCAAGGTAAATTCTAAGTTTCTGGATGCTTAGAAAAAAGATGATTATAGCAGGTCTGATTATGTTAGCAATTGCTTGAACCTTGAAACTTGGTCTCAGCATAGAACTTTCTGGGACCGCCATTCATTTCATTCTCAGGTCATCAAGAAATATGTAACAGTGAGAATTTCTGAATTACTCTGAGGTATGGCACTGCAGGTGTCTGACATTTCATGGAAATGCCCAAGTGGGTTATTCTGGACTTCCCTGTCCTGTGTTTTATGGGCTTTTCCAAGAATATCGTGAAGTAAATGTCATGTATATTTCTGGCAATGCCTTCAAGTGGAAGCAAGGCAGTAAGACTCCGGACTTATTCACTGGCTCAAGTGAGGTTAATTGACAGGGTTGTGTGCTGATAACAGCTTCTGGCATGAGCAAGGAGAATGTGGAAAAGCAAGAGAAGGAAAGGAAAGAGGAAAAATAAGGAGGAGGAAGAGGTGAGAAATAAGGGGAGAACGAGAAGTGTCACCCAGTCAGGGTTGGAGAACAAGGCCCTTTCCCTGACAATTTCTAAACAGTCTTCCCTTCAACACATGAAGGGCCAATGTTTCAAATGGCATTAAAATAAAATTTAAAAAGATTCTTCTGTATGTTTTTGTAAAACAAGAATAGCACTACAGGGCTTCCCTGGTGGTGCAGTGGTTGGGGGTCTGCCTGCCGATGCAGGGGACACGGGTTCGTGCCCCGGTCCGGGAAGATCCCACATGCCGCGGAGCGGTTGGGCCCGTGAGCCATGGACGCTGAGGCCACAACAGTGAGAGGCCTGCGTACCGCAAATAAATAAATAAATAAATAAAAGCCAGACATTTTCTTGATGAGCTATAATTTGCCCATTGATTATGGGAGAAGTGTTTTGATTTTCTTTCTTTAATTAAAAATAAATTTGGGGTTACTTAAGGTATGCATAGCGTGATGTTAGTTTCTTGTAAAGCAGCAGCAATCCAGTCCCTTGCTCATTTTCATGAGATCCAACAGGAGCAGCATGAAACAATTTTATCTAATTAAATGACCTCAAGCAGTATCTGCTGGTGACTTATCAATCACTAATTATAGCTGAATATTAGAGTCAGAGTGGATGGGAGAAAAGATCATCTAAAACCAGATAATACAAATGAAGGTAGCGTGCCTCATATAAATATGGGATTTCCCATGTTTCATAAACAGCATTTTCCAAGCATCTATGGATGAATCATAATAAAACAGTCTGCTCTTTGGTTGGTATAACTTTTAAATGTAACTGGATTAGGTTACATTTATCCGTTATTGTTCAGGTAGTACTTATGCCAGAAGACAGAGTACCTGATTTGCGCTGGTTTTCACGGGTTAGAGTGGTAGGTGGATGAAGAAAGCTGAGATCTACAGAGAGCTTTGTATCCTTCCATCGAATGTTCAAAAATCTTTTAAGTCTCTTCAATCCTTTCCATACTATCAACCTAAACAGAAACCTTTTTAAACCTACAAACCACCTACCAAAGCCAGAACAACGTGCAAGCAAACACAAGAGCTTAAGGACAAAAAAGGGTTAGGCTTGGCCCTTCTAATTTCTGGTGCTTCCACTGAGACATGTCAAAAGGATTACACATTCAGTATTAAAGAAATTTTAAGGCCAAATCATCTATCTTTAGCCCCCAAAGTCAGAGATGTGCTCTTTGTCCTTATATTTTAGATCTTTGAAATAATTCCACTAGCACATAATTCAGTGACTCGCACTAAAACCATCCAATTACATGAGGAGATTTCTCAATGCCAAGTTATTTGCAAATGATCAGGCATACATCTTGGTTAAATATTGAGACACTAAGGATGGAGTAGCCTTGAGCTGACTAAAATAAATAATGAGTGAGAAATGCAAATGTTTTATATCCACACTTCCAGTTTATTCAAAAAGTGCAAGCGTATTTAAAAAGCCATGGTTTCCCAGGAAGCCTTGGTACTATAAATAAGGGTAGGCAGCCGCATGGCCATGAGTCTTGGCCTACACAACATATTTGGCATCCAGACCATAATAATCCTGTAGAGGTCCAAAAGAGTTCCAAATTAATAGAACACCCAGTGATGGCCTAGAACTAATCCAAATACCTCCCAACCCCAAGGCTTGCTAGAACTAGGCTTGGGTATGCAGCAACACTGTCCTCCATACTTTTATTTCCTGTTGCATAGCTATATTCTTTTAATATTAAACTCCTTACAAAATAGTTAGCTAGAAGTAAAAACAAGCAGACGTGGGGAGTGCTTATTAGTGCTAAGTAATCTGGTCTAAGAATATTCATATGTTCTCAAGCCTATAAGCTACTCAAAGTCATCCAAAGACATAAGACCTATGAGTCTCCTGGTCTCTAGCCCACAAATGTAGCTTCACTGAGATGGAATGCAAAGTTAGTTCTGAATTGGAGTCTGATCCAAAATGTTTATCTGCATATTTGTCTGTCTCTTTGTTAAACTCTAAATTCTTTGAAGAAATGAATTGTGTTTTCCTCATCTCTGTATTCCCAGTGACTGCCCCATAGGAGAACTCAAGTGTTTTGCGAAAGAATGAAGAAATAAATGAGAAAATTTAAATGAATGTCATAAAGACCAATGTAGCAGAGAAAACAAAATAGACTGATGAATAAGAACAGGAATTCATATCTCCCATCCCTCCAACAATGCCCCACAAAAGATCTAATCTCTTGCTGAAATCTCATAGACCAATGAATATTTTGAAATGCAAATAAAAATGGTAGCAAAATCCAGACCTGGTTGCTGAGACATTTAACTAGATATGAGGCTCCTTACCTGACTTCAGTTTCCTCATCCAGACTGGAATATAATACTAAAGTCCTTTTCAGCTCTGATGTACTGATTCTATTAAGGATAGTAGTGACTAGGCACTGTGGATTACAAAAGCATTAGAATTTTAGAACATAAATAGGCACTCTGACTCATGAAGATCCAGGTGAAGTACAGTAAACAGGGAGACAAAAATACCAAAAACACTACAGAGGAAGACAGGATATTCACTTAAATTACCTGGATTAACTGCAGTGACCAGGAGCCCAGAGCTTAAAACAGGAGGGGGTACCTCAAAGGAATTCTGACTCCTCTCTTCCACAAATGGCCTGGGTTCCTCAGCTTCCCACTTACTCTATGACCTCGGTGAGTAACTTAACCTGTCTGTGCCTCGTCGGCAAAATGGGAATCATACTATCTACCTTTTAGAGCTATTGTGAAGTTTATTTGCACTAGTAGGCATAAAGTGCTGAGCACTGCCTTGCATGCCATAAACACTCAGTAAATGTTAAGAAAAAGGCTGCAAGCCTGCCCACTCCTCAAAGGTGAGCACAGGGGCTTCCCTAGTGGTGCAGTGGTTGAGAATCCGCCTGCCAGTGCAGGAGACACGGACTCAAGCCCTGGTCCGGGAAGATCCCACATGCCGCGGAGCAACTAAGCTCATGCACCACAACTACTGAGCCTGCGTGCCACAACTACTGAAGCCCAAGTGCCCTAGAGCCCATGCTCTGCAACAAGAGAAGCCACCACAATGAGAAGCCTGTACATCACAACAAAGAGTAGCCCCCGCTCGCCGCAACTAGAGAAAGCCCGTGCAGCAACGAAGACCCAATGCAGCCAAAAAAAAACTAATAAATAAATTTATTTTAAAAAAAGGTGAGCACAACCATCACCACTGACAGAAGACACCACTTTTCCATACTCTGGGTCACACCGTGGGAAGGCCTTCACAATGGCTCCATATTAATCCCTCCCCCTTCTTATTTTTTTAGAAGCCCAGTAAACCTTCTCTTTACCTTCACCCTTTAGGCATGAGTGTTCAAGAAAAATAAGTTATCATTTTAATACTGTATTTCACCAAATTTAAAACATGTTTTTTCACATTTTAACATCCCCAAAACGGGGATGCATCTTATAATTGGTTGCACCTTAATTCTATGAACACGGTAATAATGTTGTTGGTTATTTCCCATTCCAAATGTACAGCATTTCTGTGATTCCATGAATTCCATAGAATTTTTTTGTGGCCTCATCAAAGAAACTTGCCACTGTTTGTACTGTTATCTCTATGAGAAAATTAGAAAAAGAATATTTGGAAAAATGAAAACTTTTTTGTTAAATTGGCATTGGTTACATACCAAAGATCACTTCCAAAGTCCTGAACCAAAATCTGCTAATGATTAAATAGAAGATTAGTTAGTAAAGGGGGAAATTTTTCAATTACAAATAAATCAAAATTCTGATGACGCTGTCACCAGTAACAAGTGAGACTGATAACAAATATGATTTTCTGGAGAGTGGGAAAGTCACTTGGGGACATTGGCTTAACCTTTGTCGTCCTAGCTCATTTGGCAGAACGGCCACCAGGTTACATGGCTAGAAGGTAGTCTGGCCCTAGGTTCACTCAGCTTTATAGCAAAAAAAAAGGGGGGGCTTCCCTGGTGGCGCAGTGGTTGAGAGTCTGCCTTCCAATGCAGGGGACACGGGTTGGAGCCCTGGTCTGGGAAGATCCCACATGCCGCGGAGCAACTGGGCCCGTGAGCCACAACTACTGAGCCTGCGCGTCTGGAGCCTGTGCTCTGCAACAAGAGAGGCCGAGGTAGTAAGAGGCCCGCGCACCGCGATGAAGAGTGGCCCCCACTCGCTGCAACTAGAGAAAGCCCTCGCACAGAAACGAAGACCCAACACAGCCAAAAATAAATAAATAAATTTATTTATTTTTAAAAAAAGGGGGGGGAGTTCAAGTTACAAAACACACACACACAGAAGCGTCCACACCAAGTGCCATGGGTTTCTTGGTTTTTTTTTTCTTCCAATATAAAGTATATGAAAGCCACGTGTCAAAGTCAGTGATGGTTCGGTCCTGTGCATAGCTAGGTCGGCGTAATAACAGCTACGCCTTTTCCACATTCCGATAGCTGACGACCCACAATATCAAAAAATGTTCATCTTTGTTAGAGTTACTAAACACACTCTCTCCCTCTCACCACACCCACTCCCGCTCTCCTAAAATCAGTGCCTAAAAAGCATATTTCTTCCAGAAGTAGTTGGGCCATTTAGTCCCACTGAATTAAACAGGGTAGATAACTGCTTCTAACCGCGCCCCCTCCCCGCGCAAACGCTCACATTGGCCCGCACAGCCCCTGCGGGGTCTCCGCAGTTCAGATGCGCCGAAAGAAATCGGGGTGGGGGGGACCGGGGCGGCGCGGGGAGGCCCCCCTCTCCGTCAACCACCTCCCACAGCTGCCTATCTAAATAAGCACACAGTCCAAGAATTAACAGAGGGTTTGCTCTACAATACCAATGCTTTACAAACAGAGGGTTTGCTCTTCAATACCAATGCTTTACTCCCCAGCAACCGCTCCCCACCTCAGCCCTCGCCAAGAAAGAAATCCGAATTGCCATCCCCTAACTTCTCCTTCCTATACAGAAACTCCGGAGCCGCGCCCGCTGCGCCCCACCTCCCAGCCCTCGCGTGCAGAGAAACGCTAGGCGGGGAGGCCTGGCGAGGAGGCCCAAACGCTCGCCACCCTCTTCCGTACGCTCGTCCCGGCAAAGGCCGGAGTCCGCAGAGCTCCCGGGTCCCCAGCGGCGCGGGGAGGGGGAGGCAGAGCTCGCCAGCACCGCCCGGCGGACTGGCAGAGCCCCGCCGGCGATCTCCAAATCCTTCTTACAGGCTGAGCCCACCGCGCATCTGCTCAGCCCCTCCGGGCACCCTCCCCCTGCTCACCTCGTCCGGTCCCCGCCGCCTCTGCGCTCCCGGGGCCGGGCAGAGTAGGATCCGAATTCCCAGCAGAAATTGGGATGGGGGCCTTGAGGAGGAGGTGTTTGCTCAACTTCGGAAGTCATGCCGCTTCCTCCGCAGCCAATCAGCGCCCGCCCTGAGGGAACAACCTTCTCCTCCACCAATCCGCGGCGCTGCTAGGTGCTAGGTCATGCCCTGCCCCTGCTCCTCCCCGAAAATCCTCCTGCCTTTTAGATCTCTGACCTACGTCCTTAGCTGGGGGCGTCACGTCCTTCCAGGACTGTTATTGACCAAGTTTGTAACTGTCCATAGCAGGAGACAGGCGGAGACGGAGAAGGACGAAAATAGTCCGGACATTACACGCTCAACAGATGCGTGTATCTCCTGGGAAAAAAGTTTCCGTTTCATGTATATCACGCTTGCTTAGCGATATGCACTTCTCAAAGCATTTTCACAGCCTCATAACAAGACTGTGACGCCAGATGACAGTTCTTAAGGCCATTTTAGAGTCCAGCAAACTAAGACTGAGAAATTAAGTGTTGTGTATCCACATCCAATGAATATTAATGTTCATTAATGAATTTACTAATTTGAATAATGAATTTTCATTTTTATGAATAGTGTGTAGCCCCAGAGGCTTTTTGCTTAAGTCAATGAGATGATCAGAGTCGTGCACTTAAGGGAATATGGTCTAGATAGTGTATAGAAGGGGGTCAAGTAAAAGTGATAGTAAAGGGATTTAAAAGGACAGAGTCAACACCACCAGTAAGACTAACAGGCTAGAGGAAGAACTGAAACAAATTTGGTGTTTCAGGCTTGGCTAAGTGGTGATTAGGAAGTTGGTGATATCAAGAACAGTGCAGTAAAACACAGCAAGGAGGGAAGGCTTTAGAGAAGTGGTTAGGAATATGATTTGGCATGTGTAAAGCTAAAGATACAGAGGAAAACCCCAGCTTCCAGAGAACCTTCTCATTTTCTCTGTAATTGGAGATATGAGTGGAGTTTATAAAAATGTTCTAGGTTCAAGATCGTTGACATGAGCATTTAATAGTTAAACACATCTGTGGCAGTATGAGAAAAGTATGTGTTAGAGAAAGTTACAAAAACAGAAAGGAATATTACCCTCTGGCCATTGATTCCCTAGGAAGCCCACAGATGGACTTCGTTTTTTCTGCCTCTAGTGCTGAGGCTAGTCTTCACAAAATGCATTTCCCCCGACCCTCTAGGGCCATTTAGCCAGGACTTTTAAAGAACACTGGACTTTGTCACATATGCATGAATTCTTAATATTCATTGGATGTGGATACAGTAAGTTTACATCTCAGTCTCGGTTTGCTGGACTCTGAAACTGTTCTAAGAACTGTCATCTGGCTTCACGGACTTGTTATGAGGCTGTGAAAACACTTTGAAAAGTGCATATCGCTAAACAGTGTGATAGTCGTGAACTCAAAACTTTCTTCCAGGAGATACACACATCTGTTTAGTGAGTCATGCCTAGACTATTTAGCCCAAAGTCTTTCACACAATGTGTGAGTTCCTTCAAGATATGGCCAAAATCAGCCATCTCAGCTTTATTTCAACAGCAGCACCAGCCTGAAAAGAACAGTGAACCACATCTGTGCTTTGTTATCTCCTAAGGATTAAGAGCCTGGATCAGAATCCTTACTTTCTCCCCTCAAGGTAGAAATGGTGGACAAGTTACTCAGTTTTCAAAAAGGCCTTGGTTTCCTTACCTGCTAATAGGAAAATAATAGGAACTACTTCATGGGGTCATTATGAGGATAAAGCAAGATGATGGCCAAAGTGCTCTGCCAAGTGTTTAGCTAAAGAAACAGGCAATTATTCTTCATTTTCCCAGAATCTCATGCTGTTTACTTATCTGTGGTTCTCTGTAATTCCAACGGGGTAAATTAGGAGACATTAAGAGAGTGGGTACAGGGATAAAGAAGGGCAACAAAAGATGGTGATGCACCCCAGGGCTAGCCATAGTGAGAATACCTGTAGGCCTTGATAGGGCCAGGGGAAGAGACAGTTACCAGAACTCAGGAAGAGCTCTAGCTGTGGTGTAGCTGAAGCTATAGGAGGGCCACTTGACAGTGGTGACTTTTGACAGGCATGGAGATGCCTAAGGAATCAATAACCCTGCCCAGAGAGGGAGTTACCTAAGGCAGAGGTCAATAAACTTTATTCTGTAAAGGACAGAAAATTAATATTTTAGACTTTGCAGACCATTACGTCTGTGTCACAGTTACCCAACTCTGAGATTTGGAGAGTAAGAGCAGCCATAGACAATACTTAAATGGATGGGCATGGCTGTGTGCCAATAAAACTTTATTTATAGAAATAAATTGCAGGCTAGATTTGGATCGAGGGTCACAGTTTGCAGATGCCCCGCCTATGGAATGAATAACCCTACTTCCCTCTCCTGCCCTCCCCTCTCCTGCTAGTGCCTTCTACAAATTGAGCCCAAGGAAAGCCTGAGGCTTGGTACAGTCCATAAAGGTCAGTCCCTCAAGGACAGAGCAGGTACAGAAAGGGGCAGAAGTTCTACCAGGTTCAAAGGAACGTATTCAGCACAAAAGGTATTCAGCAAACGCTTGTTTAAATGAATGATTGGTCACTGTGAATTACTCTGCAAATGGTTGAACACCCATAGGAAAACTATCAAAATTACATCCCTTAATGGGCAAAGCCAGGAAAGGGTCCTGGATTACGGTGACTCCACCGAGAGACTGGGATGCTCCGTTAGCCTCTCTCTTGCTTTATTTTGAAATCCCATGCACTCCTGACCTGCCGATGAAACATTAACCTGGCAAAAAGAATCCTTCCTTTTATTTCCAAACTACCGCTCAAATGCTTATGGCGTTCAAGAATTTTGCAAAATATGCACATGAGAAAACCTGTTCCTTAAAATGAGGGATTCAAATGTTTTTCATCGTAGTGACATTTGTTGTAATAAGTGTGACAGTTCTCAGAAATTTCTTCACAATGAAAAGAGACAACAGATGCAAGAAAAACAAGTCTTGGATACACCCCAGGTGCTTCCACAGTCAACTTTGGCAGTCAACCCCTCAGACTCCTTCAATATAGGAGAATTCTTCTTCCACCTACGTGGGGTGCTGAGTCAATACTCCTGAAATTAGAAAGTTGATTCTCGGCCACTCAAGCTGCCTCTCTTTCTCCCACATTCTTTGGCTTTCTCTCTCCCCTCGTTGTTCCTTACTTTGGTTTTGTTCTTCCTGAGAGGCCATGAGGGTAGTAGTCAGGCATGAGAGCACTGGAGTGAGCCAGACCTAGACTTAATCCCTCCTTTGCCAACTCCCTAGTAAGTCATTTTCCCCCACCAGGACATTGGCAAACATCATAATGTTCTCAAGAAGATTAAGTGACGCACATTCTCAGGATACATGAGCTATCATTGGGGTTTACTGTTTTACTCTGTCTCCTCCTCCCCTCTCCTTTCTTTGTATGCAGAACCCATTTTTAATCTTAAGTGAACTTTGCCATAAAGAGAAAAGAGGTGGACATTTGTTCTATTTTTTTAATTAATTAATTAATTTAATTTAATTTTTCGCTGCTTTGGGTCTTCGTTGCTGCACACGGGCTTTCTCTAGTTGTGGTGAGCGGGGGCTACTCTTCGTTGCAGTGCACAGGCTTCTCATTGCGGTGGCTTCTCTTGTTGCGGAGCACGGGCTCTAGGCGCGCGGGCTTCAGTAGTTGCACCACGTGGGCTCGGTAGTTGTGGCTCGTGGGATCTAAAGCGCAGGCTCAGGAGTTGTGGCGCATGGGCTTACTTGCTCTGCGGCACGTGGGATCTTCCTGGACCAGGGATCGAACCTGTGTCCCCTGTGTTGGCAGGCAGATTCTTAACCACTGCGCCACTAGGGAAGTCCCAAGAGGTGGACATTTGTTCTCTTGATCTCTCAAGACTTTATATCTCTCACATGAACAGCAAATTTCACAATATCACCTATATCAGCCCACCCTAATAAAATATTTGATTATTATAAATAGAAATTTCTTACAGACAGGAAGTACAAAGTCATGTTGTATAAAATAAGAAGTAGTTTAGGAAAGAAAAGTTTCTAAATGACAATTACTATTGTTGCCTAACTCCCAAATTATCTTGGGAATGAAACACACCTTCTTTACTATCAAGGAATTTAAAAATCTGATTAGGTAAGATAAGAGCAGGAACCACCCACAGAAAAATCACAATTCCTGCAAACAGGTTCTGGGTGGAGACAGTGATGTCCTGGGGGATTGTACTTTCCCCCCACCCTTAGAAGAAAGAAGCAGAGAAAACTAATTTTTAGTTCACCTCCTCTACCATTACCAGTCCTTAGGGAGCCTTCCTGAAAAAAAATTTTAAGAAAATCCCAAGCCCCCTGGCATTTCCAGGGTCAACATTTGTTGGTTTCACAAAGTCCCCAAGCGTCCATGACCTCCCTCGAGAGTTACTTATGCAAACATAACTCACTGGACAGGTTTGCTGTCCATCATCACCTGCTTAGTAACTGTTATTGTAAGTCTACCAGGACTTCTAAATTTTCAGTTACACAACAATGCATTTTATAGATTGAGTGACAATTTTATGCCATGACAATACAAGCATTGTACTGGGGATGCAGATTGTGGAATATATCTCCCTGACCAATAATGGATCTAATATATTCAGATCGAGGAAGAAAATCCAGCGTTCCTCCTCTCAGCCTCATTTGCATGAAAATCTCAAAAGAGAAGATGTCTTAAAGGACTGAGAAAAGATTGGAGAAAGGAGGGAGGAAGTATTTAAAGCAAAAATAAAATACAAGTGTAGTTTTTCTGGAGTAACTGCAAGTGTAATTGAGCTGGAGACAACCAGCAGGCCAGGAGGAGGAGGTAGGAGAGTCAGGACTTTCTCACTCTAGTCCTAACCTGGGTTAGGGACTGAACGAAACCAATCTTTTACCGTTGTCATCTCACTATAGACATAGGAAGGAGAAAAGAATATAAAAATTGTTTTTTGCAGTGTAAGAAGTAGCAGCTAGGAAAAATAATCTCAGCATAGACAAGGTCTCATCAGGAAGCAGGAAGTC